AGCAATAGAGTCTCAATCAAACTCTAATTACTAACTCAATAAATAACTGAGTTTGTTCTCTATTACAGGTATTGTACATACGCAGAAGTAAAACATAATTTAGAGCAAAAGAGCAAGTCTGTTTTGAAAGCAATATATGTGAGATATAAGTGTGCACTCCTGAAGCTACTTGAACGAGAGAGAAGAACCAGTTCCATTGTGTTTATTCTTATTCTAGTTCAATTATAGTAGGAATTTCTGTTTGTACCTTTCAGCTTATTTAGAAGCAATTGTATTAGGTACTTTGAGTATTCAAGTTAGAGTTAACTTGAAAGTGTCGCAACAGTTGAGGATGTGTGCCACACTGGGATTAGAGTTAATCCTTAGGTTTACAAAGAGTTTTTGTAAATGCTGTTTTGGCTCAGGTATTTTAGTGGAAGTTTGAAAAAATCCTACTGAGTAGTAGGTCATGGTTTTTTCACCTTTTGAGCCAGGTGTTTTCCACGTAAAAATCTCTGTGTTTTTTAGTTTATGCATTTATTATTCCGCAAACTGCAATAGTTAGAACACCTAGAAGAACCAGGTTCTTCTAGAGCGAAAATTGGGTACCACACAAATCACCCCCCCCCCCTCTTGTGTGGTATTGACGTTTAGAACTTCATCGCGGATCATACGTATGACGACGCGGTTACACATAGATTTCTTAAGGTTTAGGAGCGTGTTTGGATTGTGTTTTGGAGGTCCGTAGCTTATTTAGGCTTGAAATGCAGAAAGTTGAATTTTTGAAGTTTCCGGTTCGATAGTGAGTTTTGATATCGGGGTCGGAATGGAATTCCAAAAGTTGGAGTAGCTCCGTAGTGTTGAATCTGACGTGTTTGCAAATTTTAGGTCATTCGGACGAGGTTTGATAGACTTTTCGATCGAAAGCGTAATTTGGGAGTTTTGGGAGTTCTTAGGCTTGAATCGGATGTTAAATTGGTGTTTTGATGTTGTTTTGAGCGTTCCGAAGGTTGGAACAAGTTTGAATGTTGATTTAGGATTGGTTGGCATGTTTGAGGTCCCAGGGGCCTCGGGTGAGTTTTCGGCTACTTAACGGAAGTTGAATTGAACTTAGGAAAATTTGATGTTGGCTGAACCTGTCATAACCGCACCTGCGTGAATGGGACTGCAGGTGCGGCGCCGCAGAAGCGACTTATGGACCGCAGAAGCGGAATTGGCTAGGCCCCAGGAAACCGCAGGTGCGGCTGGGTGACTGCAAATGCGGGATCGCAGATACGGCCAATGGACTACAGATGCAAACCCAGCCAGTTAAGTGATTTACGCACCTGCAATGCCTTTTCCGCAGGTGCGGTCAGTGGATCGCAGATGCGGAAATAGGTGGGCGGAAATAGGAAATTTTGAGGGTTTGAAATCAAAACTTGGAAAAACGATTTGGAGCTTGGTTGACGGCGATTTTGGGAGGATTTTGAAGAGGAAATTAGTGGGTAACGATTCCTAATCCCTTTCTAGCTGTATTCCTATAATCTAATCTTAGTTTTGTCATTTAATTTCGGATTTGGGAGGAAAAATTGAGGAAAAATGGAGAAAAGTTCTTAGGCCTAATTTTGGGGTTTTGATTTAGATTTTGATGTCGGATTGGAATAATTTTGGTATAAATGAACTCGTGAGAGTATGAGGATTATGAATTTGTAAATTTTACCCGATTCCGAAACGTGGGCCCGGGGGCGTTTTGGTCATTTTTCCTAATTTCGCGTATTAGCTTAGAATTAATTAGTTGAATTAGTTACTTGAAGTGTTATTTACATTATGCAATTACTTTGAATAGATTTGGGCCATTTGGAGTCGGATACTCGTGGCAAGAACGTGGTATAGACTTGATTGAGCTGGTTCGAGGTAAGTGGCTTGTCTAACCTTGTGTGGGGGACATTCCTCCTAGGATTTGGTATTGTTGTTATATGAATGCCGTGTAGGTGAGGTGATGAGTGTGTACATGTGCTAATTATTGGAAACCCATTTTTCATTAAGTAAATTAACTATGTTTCTCTCTTCTTGAACATTACTTGTATTTGAAGCCTACTGCGTAGTTTAGGGAAGCATGCTTAAGTGTATTAATTGTCCTATCTGCTTAAACTGTTTATGTGAACTCCGTGCAGCATGTTAGAATAGAAATCTCTGTTTCATGGTACGGACTTGAATGAAATTGTGGGTTCTTTCCTTGATATTGTTGTGTTTTTATTTTGGGACTACGGATGAGTATTCCGGGAAATCCCCTGCACATATATTGATTTTGACTGTAGTGCGGGATACCAAGAGATCCCCAGCATATTGAGGATACCAAGAGATCCTCGGGATACCAAGAGATCCCTAGCACACATATTGAGGATACTGAGAGATCTCTGGAATACTGAGAGATCCCCGAGTATTTACGTTTGGGACTACGGGACGGGATCCTGGGAGATCCCCTGGCGATGTTTCTGTGTACTGAGTGTATATTTGTCTCTTATTTCTTCTCATTTTCTGATATTGTTTTGATTATACTGTTGCACCTTACACCGTCTTACTTTGCTTTATATTTTGTTTCCGGTAGGGCCCTGACCTTCCTCGTCACTACCCGACCGAGGTTAGGCTTGGCACTTACTGGGTACCATTGTGGTGTACTCAAGCCCTTTCCTGCACATGTTTTCCCGTATGCAGATCCAGGTACATCGACTCAGCCATATCGTTAGCGAGGCGAAGCGATCTCTAGAGACTTTGAGGTATATCTACTGCGTTCGCAGACCGAGGAGACCCTATCTACTCGCTTTTAGTTATAGCCCTTCTGTACTTTTCTTTTGTTTAGACACTCTGGAGTTAGAACACTGTAGTTATTCCACGGCTTGTGATTTCATGAGATTCCGGGTTTTGGGAAATGTAGTTTCAGTTTGAGAGTTTGTATTGTATATGCCGAGCGGCATCTTAAATGTTTCATTATGTTATTCTGCAGTTTTTGGCTAGTTTTATTCTGTTGTTTCTTTTTCTGCAATATGTTAGGCTTACCTAGTCGTAGAGACTAGGCGCCATCACGATAGTTCACGGAGGGCGGGTCGTGACACCCTTCTGACGACTCAAATCGATGCTCAACGCTCCAAAACTAGCCAATAATTATGCAAACCCATTAATCTATACTCAAATACTCATTATAATCCAATTTATAACAATTTCCAACCCCGATCGAAAAGTAGATAAAAATCACCCTCGGGCCCACGTGCCCAGATTCCGAAAATTTTTGAAGATAAACTTTACCCATGACACCACGAACTCGAATATATAATTTATTCCAATTTCCATGACCAATTTCGTGGTCAAAATCCAAAAATATAATTTCTAGGTTTTTCTTCAAAAACCCTAAATTTCTACTAATGTCCATGATTAAATCCTGATACAAACCATGTATTTAACTTGTGATAGGCGAGAATCACTTACCTTGATATAGATGATGAAAATCTCTCTTCCAAGAGCTCCTAAAATCGCCCAACCGAATGAAAAATGGAGGAAAAATTGCCAAATCCCGTTTTTAAAACAATCTGCCCAGGCCAGGCCCTTCTTCGCGTTCACGATCCCCGCCCCGCGTTCCCGAAGGCCAAAAACCCGGCTGCCTCAAATTCCTCTTCGCGTTCGCAGTCCCATATCCGGGTTCGTGAAGGCTAATCACCTCCAGGCCCAGCTCCATTCCTTCTTCGTGTTCGCGACCACAGCATCTCGTTCGCGTAAGCTTGACCAGTTCTTGCCTCGCGTTCGCATCTACTGCTTCGCGTTCGCAAAGGCCAAATCCAGTACCCCTAAAATTTCTTCTTTGCGAACGCGGGATTTCCTTCACGTTCGCAATTTGGCGGGTCGATAGCGCGATGTCATGTCAGAGAGGAATGATGAACCTTGGTGGGTTTCATAGTAATGTAGTGGTGGCTTCGAGCTAAGTGGGAGAGGCCCATCGCCTACGATTGGATTGCATAGTATCTATTTGTGAGGTTCCTGGTTGGCGGTGTATTAGTGGGTTATTAAGACTAAGTAAAGAGAACATCAATGGTGATTTGAGCAAAGGATTTGAAGAATATGTGCTATAATTGGCCTTATCAATTTGTGTTCTGGCTTTGGAGAGACTCAGGATGTATGCTTCGTGTAGAGGTGATCTGCAAGGAAAGTGATCTAGCCGGGTGCTTCTTTGAGAGGGTGTTCAGGTGCTAGTGAAGCCTTGGAGTTTGATTATATTCGGGACCAATCCATAGTGGGTGACTCTCAACAACGGTCCTAGCCAATTTAAAGGGTAAAGTGCGGAGCCTAAGGATTTCGAGTCCATAGTATGGTTGAGTATCGAGCTTTTGCAGCGGATTATGATAAGAGAGCTTGGGGTGTTCTGCATTATCTTCGGTCTGCGGTGTAGCTATTCTCAAGGCATAATAAAGTCAAGATATATTGCTTCCAATTCAATTCACAGCACAAGGTTTCCTACTCCTAACAAAATAAAAAACTAACTACACTCGGTTCAAACAAAACTCTTGGAAAAGAACCGCGACACAAAGATAAACCAAGGGGGAATTATTACACTACCTACAAAAGAAAATCTTTTTCCTTTCGACTTTAATCCCTCAAGAAACCAGTCGATATGATAACCATCGTCGAGAAAAAACAAAAATTTAAAAAATTTATGTTTTTTCAAATTTTCTATTACTCAAACTAACTAAAGCAAAAAAACTAACACATATACATACAACATACAATTATCCTCCGCTCCACACTTTAAGTTGTGGAATGTCCCCATGACACACAATTAAAAAGCATAAGGTAGAGGAAACTTCCCTGAATATCTAGTCAAGGTCTGAATCAAAGTCAGGATCCATTCCACACGCCCGAACTAGTGCACACATCCATGCAGACAGCTTCTTCTAAGCCTTCTTGGGGTACACCCCACACTTATCTTTCTCACTCAATGCAGATTTTTCTTCCACGCCCTTCACCTTCCACTCAACACTTGCAGCTAGTTTCTCCTATTTCACCCCTGTTTCTACATCCATCTTGAAGGTTACAATCTCCTCACCCACTCTCAGCATGAGCTTCCTCTCGTGTATATCTAAAATGGCTCTACCCGTTGCTAAGATTGATCTTCCTAGGAGGGGTATCTCCTTGTTCACATCCATCTTCACTACTATAAGGTCTACAGGAAATACGAACTTTTCTACCCGGACTAAGACATCTTCAACTATCCCCTTGGGTATCACAGTTGTCTGATCTACCAGCTGCAAAGATATTGGTACAGACCTTATCTCTCCAAGCTCATTCTCCGGCTTCATGTAAATAGACAAAGGCATTAAATTAATTAACCACCAGAATCACATATAGATTTAACAAATTTAAGAGTGCCTAAAGAGCAAGGTATGGTAAAACTCCCTGGATCTCCACACTTTTATGGGAGTTTGTTTTGCAAGATTGCACTGCAATGCTCTGTGAGCTTGACCACTGAGGTCTCTTCTATCTTCCTCTTCTTTGTAAGGATCTTCTTCAAGAACTTTGCATAAGCTGGCATTTGTGAGAGAACTTAATTGAATGGTAGGTTTATATTAACCTGCCTCAGCATATCTAGAGATCTCTCAAACTGCTTGTCCAGGTAGTCTTTATAGAGATTTGCGGGAAAGGTATAGCAGGCATATGCTCGCTCACATCATGTTCCTCCCTTCTTGAAGTTTCTTCCTTCATCTTTTTCTCAGCTCCGTTCTTGCCTTTCTTCTTCTTATCATCTTCAATTTTCAGATCCTTCCCACTTCCTTTTTCAGGTGTCACCTCTTTTTGGACTGGATTAGGTTCTTTCAACACTTGCCCGCTTCTCAAGGTCACAGCATTTACCGTTTCTTTGGGATTCTTCTTAGTATCAGCTGGGAGAGTACCTGGGATTCTCTCAGACAATATATTTGCAATTTGTCCCACTTGTCTCTCCAGGTTTCTCAAACTTGTCCCAAGTTCTTTGATAGCTGCACCATGAGCATCTAGGCTCTCATCTATCTTGACAATGAAAGACTTCATCAAATCTTCTAACCCAGACTTCATTGGCTGTTAAGGCTGAAACCGTGGCCTCTATTGATTTTGGAAGCCTGGAGCTCCTTGTCCCTAAAATCTGGAGTTATTTTGTTGCCATGCATTTGCTGTACCCCCATGTGAACTCCATGAAAAATCGGGGTGCTTCTGACCCATTGCATTGAAGTTATAATTATCCACAGCTTCACTTCCTCCATTGAAGCTTGACACTCATAAGTAGGGTGTCCTCTTCCACATATATCACAGACTGCATGAGGCTCATGATGTATCGAGGCTAAGGACATCTTCCTTATTTCTTTGGCCATCGCATCAAGTTGTACCTACATAGATGTGTTAGCATCAACCTGGTGAACACCAGTTGATATTCTTCTTTAAGCAATCTCATAGGGCTACTGATTTGCTTCTTCAAATAACTCATCTAGAATTGTGACTATCTCCTCTGGAGTTTTCTTCATCAGCGGGCCTCCAGCTGCATTGCTCAATGTTCAACGTGAGGCCGGTGTCAAACCATCCCAAAAGTCCTGGAGTTGCATCCAGAGTTCAATTCCACTGTGTTGACACTTTCGTACAATCTCCTTAAACCCCTCCCAAGCTTTAAACATAGTTTCCATCTCGTTCTGGCAGAAGTTATAGATTTCTCTTCTAAACTTGCCGTCTTAGCTGAGGAGAAATATTTAGCAAGAAATTTTCTGGTCATCTCCTCCAATGTTCTAACTATTCCCTGAGGCAAGCTTCGAAGCCAGTTCTTTGCATCATCTTTGAGAGTGAAGGGGAATGCCCTTAAGTAAACTGCATCTTGTGACACACCATTATATTGAAAGGTGTTCATGATCTCCTCGAAGTCCATTAGATAGTTGGTTGGATCTTCGTTGTTCTTTCCTCTGAAGACGCAACAATTTTGAAGGGTTTGAATCAACCCTTGCTTCAATTCAAAATTATTAGCTGCAACTGGAGGGGGTCTCACACTTCATAAACCTTGGTTGTAGACCGGTCTAGCATATCGCCAAGTGGTCTTCCTTGGTCGGGAGCTATGTTTCCGAACTGGTCTGCACCCAAAGGCTGATTCTGAGCCGTTCTCCGAGCCCTCTCTTCTTCATATGCAATTTCTGCATCTCTAACAGCTGCTTCTTCAGCATCTCGAGCAGCTTTTCTCTTATTTGGGCTGCCTCTCTCGCAGCCAAATCAACATTATCATCATCTCCTGCCATATCTTCTTTGGTTGAGGATTGACCAACCTTTTTTATATTTTTGGAGAGATTTCTTTCCTTCCTCAACTGTCACAGTTGTTTCTCGATTTCTGGTTCGTATGGTTGCACTTCCTTCCCAGAAGATTGAGTCATGCACCAACCTAACCTGTAGCCTGTGCACAGTCAAAGAACACCAAACGTAAAAAGAGAAAAATAAAATAAAAAGAAAAATTCCTAAATTAGCACTACAAACTATTTCAAACACTATTAATTGTCAATCCCCAGCAACAGTGCCAAAACTTGACATGCTTGAAACACACACTTAAATATGCTCGCTAGTCGAATATAGTAAAATATAATATCATATCCGCAGGAATTAGAGTTAAACAGTGTTATCGTAGTTTGTAGCTAGATTGCTATCCAAGATGATCAACAATTTTGAGTTTTATGATTAAGAATATAATTAACTAAGAGTCTAAACTACTGACTAAGACAACCAACGCAAGTAATAAGCAAATAAGGTTATGAATGGTCTGGTTCCACTTAGTAGCCCAAATCCGCCCCTTTAACACGCAAGTACGCTTTAGCTACTAAGCTTCGAAACAACCCATAGGCTTACTTCGAAGTAGGAGCTTGAACTCAAGTATTAGAATGTGTCTTATTAGGTTTTCCCTGGGGGAAGGCTCCCCACAACCCCAGTGAGTCTGAATTGTGCAGGATCGAGCCCTGGCCTTGGAAGCCATCCATTCAAGCCTTCCCAGTCCTTTATTATTGTTTTTGATCGGTCTTTCTAAATCCATATGGTATTATATGGCTTTCAAGCTTCCTAGCCTGGGTTTGTGTGAAGCATGAGAACATGAGCAAGCTCAGTCTTTCGCTACTCGTGTGACCCCGCAGGTTGATAGGATAGGTGCAAGACAAATGTTTGGGATCTAACTCTAGATAATTCACTTCTAATGTTCAAGTAAGTCTATCTAATTCACTTGGTTATTAATTCACTTGTTTAGTAGAAACTCTTCTATCGATTAAGTCTCAACCTCACAAGATGAACCAATTTTAAGCACGTAAAGATATGTAAGAATTCGTAGTGGATTAGTCTTTAGGAGAACCTCTCTCGATATCCTCCTAACTAGGTTTAATTAACAACTCAACTAGCCTCTTCCTTACTAAGAAGAATTAATGAGTTCAACCAACAAAATATAATGCAAAGATATCACAAGGTATGCCTCTCTCGATTACATGAACTAGTGAATATAGATGCAATGGGTAAAACATCCAAAATGATTTCAATACATAAAACTAGAGTTACATCCATAAAAAAGTATCAATACACCAAATCCATCAAACCCTAAAGAGAACTACTCCATAGGCATGGAGCAATTCATCACAAATAAGTCTATATCAAAGGAAAACATAAAACGATCCAAACTCTTATCTTGAGTGAGGATTGAATGATGAAATCCTTGTGCTTTTGCCTATCCACCTCCTCCTTAGCTTCCTTAGGTCTAAGATGTATCAAAAGTCCTGAAAATAACATTTTTACATGTATTTATACTAAGTAGGGTCGGGCCCAAACGAAAACACCTTTTCCTGCACGAACTAGGACAATAACTCTGTAAAAATTGCACAGGCACGCCGCATGGGGCGACGCACCATGCGGGGCAGCAGTGGAGATCTTCAGAGAGCAAGCAAAATTCATCAGGAAGCATTTTACACGGTCGTAGTGCGCCACGTGCCGCGGTTGTGTATTTTTCTTAGAGTACGGATTTTTCTTGGATTTTTTATATTCAGACGTGGTTCTCGACCCCCGAACGCGATCCTCGCCTAATCTTTGGGCTTTTACTCAAAATTCAAAGCTCCAAATTGCTCGAATTAACTCCATAACATCTACATCACTCGAAATCACTCCTACAATGCATAAAACACGTAATTAATGCAAAACACTAGCGATTAAAGCTCAAACTCAATTAAAGTGCAGTAAATTAGGGTGTAATATGAGACTAAATATGGGATTATAGCCTACGATCAGGGACCTCTTGCATTAGATGTTCAGGCTTTTTCCAATCAGTTCGCGGGGTTAGATATTTCAGAGCACAATCGTGTTATAGCATGTATAGTCGCTCGATCTTCCTTGAATGAGCGCATCATAGAGCGGCAGTATGATGACCCTCATTTGCATGTCCTCAGGGACATAGTGCGGCACGGTGGTGCCAAGCAGGTTACTGTTGGAGATGATGGAGTTTTGAGGATGCATGGTCGTATTTGTGTGCCCAATGTAGATGGACTTCGTGAGTTGATTCTTGAGGAGGCCCACAGTTCCCGGTATTCTACTCATCCGGGTGCCCCCAAGATGTAACAGGACTTGAGGTAGCATTATTGGTGGAGAAATATGAAGAAGGATATAGTTTCATAAGTAGCTTGGTGTCTAAATTGTCAGAAAGTTAAGTACGAGCATCAGAGACAGGTGGTTTGCTTCAAAAGTTTGAGATTCCCGAGTGGAAGTGGGAGCGTATCACTATGGATTTTGTTGTTTGACTCCCACGGACTCAGAGTAAGTTCAGCGCTATGGGTCATTGTAGACAGGCTGATGAAGTCAGGGCATTTCATTCTTGTGACAGTTACCTATTCTTTAGAGCGTTTGGCTGAGATTTACATCTGTGAGATCGTCCGCCTTTACGGTGTGCTCGTGTCTATCATTTCTGATCGAGGTACACTATACTGCCCTCTAGAGGGCAGTATAGTGTACCTCGATCAGAAATGATAGACACGAGCACACCATAAAGGCGGACGATCTCACAGATGTAAATCTCAGCCAAGCGCTCTAAAGAATAGGTAACTGTCACAAGAATGAAATGCCCTGACTTCGTCAGCCTGTCTACAATGACCATGAAGCGCTGAACTTACTCTGAGTCCGTGGGAGTCTAACAACAAAATCCATAGTGATACGCTCCCACTTCCACTCGGGAATCTCAAACTTTTGAAGCAAACCACCTGGTCTCTGATGCTCGTACTTAACTTTCTGACAATTTAGACACCAAGCTACTTATGAAACTATATCCTTCTTCATCTTTCTCCACCAATAATGCTACCTCAAGTCCTGTTACATCTTGGCGTCACCCGAATGAGTAGAATACCGGGAACTGTGGGCCTCCTCAAGAATCAACTCACGAAGTCCATCTACATTGGGCACACAAATACGACCATGCATCCTCAAAACTCCATCATCTCCAACAGTAACCTGCTTGGCACCACCGTGCCGCACTATGTCCCTGAGGACATGCAAATGAAGGTCATCATATTGCCTCTCTATGATGCGCTCATACAAGGAAGATCGAGCGACTATACATGCTATAACACGATTGGGCTCTGAAACATCTAACCCCGCGAACTGATTGGAAAAAGCCTGAACATCTAATGCAAGCGGTCTCTGATCGTAGGCTATAATCGCATATTTAGTCTCTTATTACACTCTAATTTACTGCACTTTAATTGAGTTTGAGCTTTAATCGCTAGTGTTTTGCATTAATTACGTGTTTTATACATTGTAGGAGTGACTTCGAGTGATGTAGATGTTATGGAGTTAATTCGAGCGATTTGGAGCTTTGAATTTTGAGTAAAAGCCCAAAGATTAGGCGAGGATCGCGTTCGGGGGTCGAGAACCACGTCTGAATATAAAAAATCCAAGAAACACCAATTCATAGGTTTGTATACTTTAACTCATTTTCTTCCATTTCTAACATCACCCATTAATTTTTAGCCCTAATCTTTGTTCTTCCATGGTAAAAATTGGGGATTTGGGTAGAATTAGGAATTTTCGTAAAATTAGAATTTAGAACTCAAATTGAGGTCGGATTTCGAAACAAATTGCATAACTGGGCTCGGGGTGAATGGGGTAATCGGGTTTTGGTCCGAATTTTGGGTTTGGACCAAGCGGGCCTGGGAGTTGACTTTTGTTGACTTTTTCAATAATGACCTAAATTGAACCCTTATTATTTGGGGGTAGTTCCTAAGACTTATTTTGAATTGTTTGGTTGATAATTTGCTAGATTTGGTTGGCTCGGAGGCTTATTTGAAAGGCAATGTCGTGGTTGAGCTTTGTGTTAATTTTTGGAGCGAGGTAAGTGTTATGGTTAACCTTGATTTGAGGGATTAGGACTTATTTGCCTATTCTCTATGTGTTTAAATGTGTGAGTACAACGTATATGTGAGGTGACGGGTACCTATGCATTGTTGTTAGGTTAAAGCATGCGGGTGAGACTTGTTTCCTTGTAATTTATTGTCTTTTTTTTTATGATATCCATTTTTAGACTAGTTTATTACTTAATTGATCGTTCTTTCCGCATTTATGAACTATTTGTGATAATTGAGTATTTTTGGAAGTTGAGGTTTGGTATTTTGGAATCGTTGTTGACGTAAGGTTTAGTCTTGCTTATCCTATCTCCCAAATATTTATATTCGTTGCTACATGGAAAGGAAGAGTGTTAAAGCATGAAGGGTGATGTCGTAACGTTTATTGCTTAATTTACTGATTAATACATGGTGAGGAAGAGGGTTAAAGCACAAAGGGTGATGTCGTGTCGTATTTATCATTTCATGGAGAGATTGAAATTAAAAGCATGACGGGTGATGCCGTGCCATTATTATTATTATTTCATGGTGAGGTTGAAAGTAAAGGCACGAAAGGTGATGTTGTGCCATTATTATTATTTCATAGTGAGGTTGAGAGTAAAAGCACGATTGGTGATGTCGTGCCATCTTTATTCCTTATGTTTATCCATTTTCATTGGCTGATGGGTTATTTGATTGTCTCATATTGTCATTCCTGTTGTAGTTACCGTATCTTGTACCCCCCCCCCTTCGTATGTCCCTTCCTAATCGTACGTATTTAACATCTATTTGTTTTTATGTTGCACGAATAGCTCCGTCTGTGCAGGTTAAATTACGTGAGTGTCTTGTCATAGCCTCGTCACTACCTCATCGAGGTTAGGCTCGACACTTATGAAGTAAATTGGGTCGGTTGTACTCGTACAACACTCTGCAATTCTTGTGCAGATTTTGGTACTGTTCCCAGCTGTACGTGAGGTGCATCAGCTCGGATTGGCATATTTGGAGACTCGAGGTAGATCTGCTGGCGTCCGCAGACCTTGAAGTCCCCTTCCTCTTTCCTTATTTACTGTTTATTCATTTGAAACAATTGTATTTATTTCAGACTCTATTTGTAGAATCTCTAGAAGCTCGTTTACTTGTGACTCCAGATCCGGGTTGTATTTAGATATCCTGGTTATTATGCTACTTCGTACTTCATTTCAGTTTAAGTGGTTTATTTGTTGAAGTGTGTAAAATTGGCTTAAGAATTACTCTAATGTTGGCTTGCCTAGCGAGTGAAATGTTAGGCGCCATCACGGTCCCGAAGGTGGGGATTTCGGATCGTGACAAGGTAGTTCCTGGAGGCGGATCCACATAGTGAGTAATTCATGTGCTCTATAGCGGGATTGAATTTAGGTTCCCAATTACGGTCAGTAAGGTATTGGGATCCAATAAACCAAGGTCCTTTATGGAGGGCTTTGGTATAATTATCATTGTAATGAAATTTGATAAGGTAATAATCAAATCCTAGATCGATAAGTTGTAATACTTCACTTGGTTGCCATAAGGAGTTTAATTTAGTCTTGAGGTTAGTATAGGATATATTTTTTTTTTCCAAGTAACTTAATAATAATTGATTGGTGCCAATATTTGTATAATCTTGTTTTTTCATCTGAAGAGAGGAATAAAATGAGGGTGGTTTGATGTTGGTTTTTTCATCATCTAAGGATAACTTGTTTAAGAAATCAATTTTAAGTTCATTGGGTATGACGGACGGTGGGGGATAGTGTGTCACAAAAACTTACCTTGTCAGGTGATGAAGGCTGCGTAGGTGTAGATTCATCTTTAGGCTTGTTTGTGTTGCGATCGAGTTGATCTTGTTCTTGATCGGTTAGTTCCATTTTTGATGTAGTAGTCATGGAATGTGGTGTTGGATTGGCTGGTTATAGCGGTTGTGTATTGATGGTACTTTCTCACTCTTCTTTCAAGAGAGAAGGAGGAGAAGATGGAGCATCTCTTTTTTTTTTGGTTGTAAAAGGAAGCTTTATTAATAAAACTACGTAATATTACAAAAGGCTCTATCAGCCATCCCATTGGGATCGAAACTGACAGGGCTTACCAAAGTAGTAGAGTTTTGCATGGCATTTACATTGCCTATACTAGCTAACATATTACAAATTTCTTCCGAAATAGACCTAGAGTGAAGATGGAGCATCTCGAAGATATCCATTCATAGGAGTTTAAATATAAAATATTGTACTTCAGATCATTGTTTTAAAAGACTCTTTTAGGATTTGCCTCGGGGTTCGCGCCGGAGCGGGATATTATCAAAATGTCCCGAGGCTCACGTGTGGGGCTTAGTTCTGTGAGACTTACGCCTCAAGCACTCGACTGTACGTCCGAAACACGTCTAACGCTCACCACTCTGGGGCTCGCCCAATAATTCCTAGCGTAAATCATGCATCAAATTTTCTAATTAGCACTGTTGATACTAAAAATTCTTTAACAAATGAATAATTAAAGTCTATTCATCTATAGAAATACGAAAATTGAAATTAACTTAAAAGAATAAGCCATAGTATTATATATTTACTAATTGAGAACATCGAAAAAGGAATATCATTTGAATGGCCAAAATTTATATATACCTCATTTACTATAGGTACTCATACTTTATTTTTATGTCTATCAAAATTATCAAACTTTTATTATTTTACTATTTGAAAGTAATTTTATATTTACTCATGAGGACCAATATTTTAAATTACAGTATTAATGGAGTTTATTGATTATTTACTTTTAGAAAGGTAAATTGTGTAGTTGAATAAAAAAAAATTGAAATATTATGATCGCCTAATCATTTGAAGGATAAGACGCTATAGTTGATTTTTATGTTATAGTAACTTTAACACTATTGTATTGTTTACATTTTAAAAAGATACTAAGATATTTCATTTTTGTGAGTTTTTTAACTTTTTTTAATTTTCTTAAAATTTTAGTATACTTTATATATTTTTTGTGGTTATTATCCTATTTTATTAATTTATAAACTAAAAAAATTAAAGATTGATGGGGCTTATGCCCCATGTCTCAAGACTTACGCGTTGTCCCATGTTTAAGTAAAATGTTCTGCCTTTTGCTCCCGCATTTTAAAGTACTGGTTCAGATGGATAATAGTAAGTATGATATTAGCAATAGTATAATTTAGACGTCATTTTGGTCAAGCATTCAGCTAAATGATGTATAAGCAATTGATACAAGTCATTTGGCGGCACCCTCAAATGTTTCATATGATACAACTTATTTATAATAGAACTTTTGAAATATAACTTTGCTACACGGAAATTAATAAAATTGGATCATGTAGCGAGAATTTGAATATACGCTGGCCAAGTCATAGTTTTATTAAAGAAATTTTGAAAGTCAAGGAAGTTCACACGACATTTTAAATCATATACGTAGGAGGTATGCATGCATAATCATAGAGTAGTTAAAAACTTGATATGGCTTGTGCACCCACTCCATCTTCTTGGGAAACTAATTTTTTCATTTGACGAATCAACATCTCAAAATCATGCTGACCCTTCAGCAGGCTGAGCCGAACATAACGATTTTCTGCAAAGAATTTGCTACCTGGACGACCTATGATTTTTGCTAATCTGAAAACTTGTGTGCAGTTTTTATCTTCTTTCCTCTTACACTTCACCCATGCATAAGCTGCCATCAAAGCCACAAGGAAAAAAGTTTTGTATATATTGTCTTGTAAATAGGTCTGATTTGATACTCTAAATGGTTTTAAGGAATTATTTACTTCCTATCTCATATTGATACAGTCAAATCTCTCTATAATAATCTTGCTTGTTCTAACATTTATAGGCTGCTATAGTGTTGTTATGTAGAACAAATACTATAACATACATGAAAAATAAGTTCCAAAGAAAACTAGGTTGTTATAGTAAAATATTGTTATAAAAAATGATTGTTATAGAGAGCTCTGACTGGACTGTATTATTTTCAATAAGTGAAAACTTTTTGTAGACAAAAAAAAGTCTTCTTGAGTAAAAAGAGTTTAAAACAAAGCTCTTTTTTTTATGTAAAGATAGCTTAGTCTTTTTATGTAAAAAGTTTTCTTGAGTTAAAAAAAGGTCACCTGGAGATGGTGCTCTGACTCTGTCAAGAAATGTGCAATACTGAGTTGGAATGCGTTGGAGGCTAAAACGTTTAGATAAAGAGAAAATGCGACTCAATTTTTCCCAGCGATCACTTAAGATTTGATGTGCAAAATTGAAGAGTTGCTTGCCATCTCCTTGAGCAACAACTTTCATTAGAGTTAAGGCTCTCAACTGACCATCTTTTGAGGTCCCCATTTCAGCAACATCAATAAACTCCATCATTCTTTTATATACATTCACGTCCTTCACTATAGCCCACCTACACTTGCCAATGGTGATAAGTTTTTTATAAAAAAATCCTCAAATAGATTAAAAGGCACATCATAAAAGAAAGGTAAGTGTATATAGATTATACACCGATTATATGCGGTTATACGCATATACATGTTTTTAGTTTAAGCAGTTGGGTGGCATCTATTTCTGTTAAATTCTTCAAGAATAAACTATCATGATATGATTATTTTTCTTAATTTTCTTTTTGACTTTTTTGTATCACTAATTGGTTAAAATTATTTTTAGGATTATATTTTATAATTATGCTATGCATGGCAAAATGACCAAAATATGAAACTACATGAAAAGTATTAGTACTCCTTTAATAAAAAAAGGTTTATCTTTTTTTAGTTATATTAAAACTTACATAATTCTATATTTAAAAAGATGCATTTGATTTAAATCCTTGACTTTTGAAATTCAGCATGGAGGAAATTTGTGAGATATGAGAAAAAAAAAAGTTATTGCTTTTCCTACAAAATAATTTCCAAGGAAGTGGCCAAAAATCAGATCATCATTTTTTTCTTTTTCCTGTTTTCCTCATTTTGATATATATGAATGAGTTAACACATTCAATGTTGACAAAAATGCATGAGAATTGTGTATAAAATTTGTTCTTGTTAACACTGCTCTATTCTATAGTACTAATTTCATGCAAAAAAAACAACTTTCATTTAAGCATTGGATATTGTTTATTACCCAACTCTGCTTCCAGCATGACCAGTGAGCTTAGACATGGAGAAAATCATGAGATGTTCATCAGCTGGAGCTGGAATTGCAGTGTAATGAGGCCAATAATAAGCATGATCATAAATTGTCTTCACATTTGGACCTTTTAAAACTGAATTTCTCAAATTCCCATCTGGATTATTTGGTGAAGTCACAAACTCAATCACATTTCCACCAAAATCTGACTTGTTCTTTAACATCGATGAATCTCCTTCAAATTCATAATGAAGTGTTTGAAAGAACTCCGTTTGAAACTTATAAGGCTGAGAAAGTTAAAGCAAATTAGTTAGTTTCAAGTATGCTATATATATATATATATATATATATATATATATATATATATATATATT